ATGGATTGGAGATTTTTTTCTTAATCCATACTAATATATTATAAGCAGGAAAGATTTTTTTGTTTGTTTGTTAATACCGAATAAGCTCAGAAACTACAGAACCGATTCAGATGAAATTTGGTAAAAAGATAGTTTGAGACCCTGAGTAGGACAAAGGATAGTTTTTATTCCGGAAATCATCCCTTATAAATGGGGATGAAAGTATGAATGGGGAAGCAACCTAGGAAGTCGCTAGTCCTACATATAATTGATGAGCTTAGCTTGTGTTCCATTAGATGTCCTTCACAATTTTGTACAGAATTTTACAGAAGCTCTGAGAAAGGCTTTAATTGCACTTTAATTATTTTACTCTCATTCGTCAAGTTAAGTAAGGTAAAAGATCACAGAGGTGGGAAACCATACAACTTCGAGCTTCTGAAAAGTCCTCGACATGAATTACCAAAAGGATAAATTAAAATAAATTATTGCCTGACCCAGAAATCGAATATGGGAACTCACAATCTATAGCTGTACAAACACTAGACAATAGGAAGGAAGGTTTTCAATAACATTTTACTTTTTATCCTATATTTTTTTTATAATCTAAACAATACCCTATTGTTATAACAATATAGATAGTATATAAGCGTCAAGGCCATATCATATATAGAATGGCCTATATACCTCTTCATTAGAGATTCTCTTCTACTGTGCAAATATGATATATAATTGTATGTAGTAACATCATTATTCTCTCTTCCATATTGTTTATAGGATTTACTTTGATATTTTATCAAAATGTCGTTCTCAAGTTACAATAACTTCAAACAGTATAGCTTATCTACGTTTGTGGAAGTTTATTTCTTAAAATATTATTTCCGAAATCTTAATTTGGCTCAGTTTGTAGTGACCCTGCTTGCTGTGCCAATAGTCAAGGGTTCGAGCCCCTCTGGGGGCATTCATTTGTGTGATCAGCACGAATGTTTGTACTCCACAAATGGGTGTTTATAATATGTATGTATTTAGAGTTATATATGTGTAGTGTATCAACTATCTGATATCCATAACTTAAGCCTTGTAGCTTACCATGGAACTAGATGGTGCTGTGTGTTAATGTCACAACATATTAATTATACTATTTTAGAGCAATTAAGGAAGTACTATGCTTTACGCAAGTCCTAAGAAGACTCTGATGATCCAGTAATTCCAACTAATCATTCTGCTCAGGAAATATTTACACTATTAGCAAAAAATACAGCAAAAATCAAAATATACTTAATTATATATTATGTGTATATAAATAATTTTACACTTCATCTATACATGTAATAAAATTCGAAGTCGAATCTGTACATTAAATATTTTTTGGAAAATCTTATTGAAACAGGCGTTATTATCGATACAAAGGCCGAATCTATAGTTTTTAGACTTTTTATCTGTCTGTCTGTTACCGCATCACAGAAAAACCACTGGAGGGATTTTGATGAAATTTGGTATGGTGATAGCTGGTTATCCGGGTCAACATATAGGATACTTTTTACGGTGGAAAAGTATCTCATTTGTGAGAAAAAATACATAAACTGCAGTGTAAGAGTATACTAATATGTAAAACCTTCTTAGGTTTTACATATTAGTATACTTTGGTTGGTTTTTGGTGATCTGAACGCGGGCAGAGCCGCGGGCATTACTAGTAATTACTATACAGTTCATGTTCGCGTGGAAATGTGGCATGAATGCTAGCTACAATCCTCCGTTTTATGGGAAAGTCGATTTTTTGGTCAAAAAATGAGCCAGCTCTTTACAATTATTGTAGAGGTGACAAGACGAGGTGTCATATCTTTTAAAAATTTCACCACAAAGGGTTTCACCGCAAAAAGTATTTTAAAGCATATTTTTTACTAAAGGACATATTTTTTGTTATAGTACTAGCGAGTTACCCTTGCTTCACTCGGCAAATATATTTTTTCTTTAGTATTCCAAATCTATAGTTATATCAAGTACAGTTAACGCCATCTTGTAACAAATTTTGGTTACTCCAAGTCCGTCTATTTATTTGCTAAACTTCATGCTACTCCAACCGTTTCTACTTAAAAGTTAAAGTAGTAACAAACATACATATACGAACTTTCATATTTATCGTAGTTATGTGAGAAACAATATAATATTTTATAATACATTTTTAATTTATACTTTAATATTTAGCTTTCTTCCTTTTCCTCGTACTAACCGCAGTTCTACCGCAGAACGAGAAAGTTCAAGTTGAGTCTTTCACCGTATCATAAGCCATGCAATATACGCACTAATAAAAATGGTTTTATTTCACATACAAGAAGTTTTTCCGGGGTTCGTCCGGTTTTTTGGGGATTCTGTAGCCAAAGGCGAATACTGTCTGTCTGATTATTATTATTTAACCGACTTCCAAAAAGGAGGAGGTTTTCAATTTGTATTTTTTGATGTATGGATTCTTTTTTGCTTCGAAGGATATACTTTCCAAATTCCAAATATCTGATTAGGTATCAATCCTAAATGAAAATTCCAGTTTAGTATTTATTTACATTTTAGTGCCTAGATGTCGGTTTGTATTGTTCAAAGGATTGTCTGAGTTGGTATGGACATGTGATGGCGAGAAGAGTGATGGAAATGAATGTAGATAGTTGGAGAGGTAGCAGGAGATTGAAGAAAAGATGGATAGATTGTGTGAGAGAGGACACGAAAGAGATAAAGATGATATTATATAACCTATTTATTTATTTGGTTCATCGTGTATGTATGTACATATATAATATGTATGTATATAGTCCTTTTAAACGTTCTACTTGTAGGTGAAGAACTCTAATACTACGAGTCCCCTCAGACGTGTAGGTTTTTTCACGATATTTTCCTTCACCGTAAGACAAGTGATAATCATGTTGAAAATGATTTGCACATGAGAATATCAGAGGTGCGAAACCTGGGATTGGAACCCGCTTCGCTCGGTTACCCAAGCAAACGAATTACCACTGAGCTACTGCCTTTTTTTATACATGCAAAAAATATCCAAATTGAGTACTCCAGTATGGAAATCGGTCAAAATATTTGTCTTATCCAAAATAAGCGAGTTCATCTCGTGCTTAGCCATATTTAATTCATTTAAGCAAGTCATCCACCAACAAGATGCATCGACAATAAACATGTGATTAATCCAACACAACTTTCTATTTTTTTTGATGGATATTACGAGTGCGATTAAAAAACTTATACAATGTTATTAGTATTAATTAAAAACACAATGTGATGGGCGTTTAGTGAAGTGTTCTGGCATTGTCTTTTAAGACGGATGTCAAAGACTCTATCCCGATGAAATGACTTCAAAAGTTTGCTTTAAAAAAACTATATTATTGCTATTTAGCTTATTTGAGAAGCAATTTGCAAAAATAATGTCTTATACAGGCGTCTAGTAATGTTTCATGGTTTTGATTAACGTAATGTACGGGACTTTTTTAGATTTTACGCGAATATTGGACATTTTAAATAAAACTATCTTTTCAAGTCTCTCCCATGACTACGATTGCTGTAAAACATTTAAAACTAAAACCAAAAATCCCAAAATTCGCATGAATCTAAGAAAATATTACGTTGGAATTGAAACATTTGAAATCATTATAAATCCACGAAAAATCAAAAAAAAGGTATTTAAAAAGTACCTATAAGACTCAATAATATATTTTTTTAATAATCTTAAACTAACGTTTTTATTAATAGATGGCTATTGAAAAGTTAAACTAGCCACGTACTGGCATCAACATCAGATCACCTCGGTGGCATCAAAATTACGTTGTCATGTAGATTTCACATATGAACTAAGATCCCGCTGCAAGATTGCTACGTTCATAGCGTATTTAATCGAACACCTATAAGACATATGGACACCTGTAAGAGACTAACATACTAGAACTTGTGTATTAGGAATGAATTTAAAATGTATTTATGTTGTTGGTGTTCTTAATAAATTAAAAAAAAAAACAATATTCTTTAAACAATAATCAAAGGGACAATGTGATTTGACCGAGATGCCTATTCAAATGTGCCCGCTAGTATGTTTAATTAACTAAATAATAGTTGACTTTTTGGAACAAAAACGATGCATATGTTATTACAATGAATTGTAGTTTCAAACGAATTCGATATTTAGACGTATCTTAAATTTAACTTCTAAGATTTGATAACACAAGTTACAATAATACCAAATTGTAATTCCAACGTATACCTACTTTAAAAAAAACCTATTTTCTGACCAACTATCCTACTTTTTTAAACAAAACAAGCTAAGAAATATTTTTTTAAATACTTAAAAGGCGTATCGAATTAATATAATTGAATGTTCTGTAAGTGTTTATAACCATGAAGCTATGCAAATTTCATAAACAAAGTTAATATGTTAACATGTATTTATTATCTTATCGCAATCTAATTAAATTAATTTTAGATATTAAAACCAGAGATTTTAGTTTTATGATAATCAATATTTACATTTAAGCCTATAGATGTTGTAAAAGAACCTGTTCATAGCATTGCATTTCCGTAATTAAACGCCCAATAATAATGCGTTAAGTAATAAGTTGAGTACAGTATTTCCTTTTTAGCACGTTATGTATGCACCAGTAAGTGTTATATAATGTGTAACGAGGTTTCAGTTGACTTGAACAGGTTTTTTGTTCAAGACGTGCATTTTTGTGCTTGTTTTATAAAATGAATACGGGTAATTATTGTGTTTTTGTTTATTTATGAACGACGAAATTTTGTGTATCGCTAATCAAGGGATTTTGTGTTAAAATGTGAATTTTTGTGTATATATTCCAAAGAAATCTGCGTTTATGAATTAAATTCTGATACTTTAGTGTCATCATACTTTTGGATGGAAACAAAAATGTTTATTCGTAAAAATCTTAATTGCTTATATTAAAATATATTGTAATGCCCATATTTATTATTACGTATTTTAGATGGATTCTAAGTGTTAGAATAATTTATTTTGAGTAATAATGAAGTGCCATACAGTGTTATTAGTATTTTTGCTTATTCTAAACGTATGTGTAAATGTTAAGCTCTTTGATATTAAATTTCCAAAATTATTCAAGAAACTAAAAGAGGAAGAGGAATCTTTTAAAGGTACGACGGATTTACCACTAAGACGATATAAAGATAGCAAGTTCTATTCCTTTTCATTCAAATTACATAAACTTTATTTTGTTTAATTCTTATAATATACGAAATATAAGTGACTACGGTGTCTTATGTCTATTTAATTTTTTTTTTAGATGACAAAAGTTGTCATCTGCAATATCGTGTATTAATAATAGGTATCATTAATCTATACAGATAAATAAAACTGAAGTGTCTGCTTGTAATGTCAAAATAACAGTTTTTTACTAAATGTATATGATAGTATTTATGGTAATATATATAATAGTATTATAATATAAGTGATGATTTCGGGGTTAAAACTATCCTATGTCCTTCCCAAGGTCTCAAACTATCTTCTTACCAAATTTCATCTAAATCGATTCAGTAGATCCAGTGATTACCCACTACAACGTCACAAACTCACAAAATTTACCTCTTTATAATATTAGTTTAAAAGTATAGGTTATAGCCTACCTAAAAATACGTATTTCTATTAATAAGAATCCTATAAAAATCGGCACAGTAGTTTCTGAGATTAGCCGAAACGTTACTCATTGAGGGACTTTGATTTATAATATACGTTTTATATAGATAACTAGCATTGCCCGCGGCTCCGCCCGCGTTCATATGAAAAATGACCAAAAACCAAATTCTTAGGTTTTACATATTAGTATACTCTTACAACTCAGTTTTTGTATTTTTTCTCAGAAATGAGATATTTTCCCGCGGTAAAAAGTATCGTATATGTTGATCCGGATAACCAGTTACCATCATACCAAATTTTATCAAAATCTATCCAGTGGTTTTCTCGTGATGCGGTAACAGACAGACAGACAAAAATGCTAAAAACTATAGATTCAGCCTCTGTATCGATAATAATGTTTATTTCAATAGGATTTTCCAAAAAATATTAATGTACAAATTCGACTTAGTTACAATTTTATTATATGCATAGATAGATATGTTCATATATTTTTTGGTTACAGGTTGTGGAGTGGCAGTTGGCAAGCAAACGGCTCAGAGGAGAATCGTCGGCGGGGACGATGCAGGATTCGGCACTTTCCCTTGGCAAGCATATATTCGTATAGGATCTTCCAGGTTAACGAATTTTATTTTTAACTTGCTTTGTAACTGTTAAACTTAACCGACGTTTAAATATAGGAAGACTTGAGTTTAAAGTATAAATTTAACTGCGTTTTTAAAGTATTTAGATTTTATTGAAAAAATTTTTATGTAATCAAAAAAAAGTACGTTAATAGATATATAGCAACATAATTTTCAATGAATTTTTTTGGACGAGACTTAAAAATAAAATATTATCGATACAGTTCAGATGCTTTTTATCGTATAATATATAATCGAATAAACATCAAAATCGATTCCTCTATTAAAAACAATAGATTGACAAAAAATATACCTATGTACAAGACGGATATTTTTTTTTATTTGTAATATAAAGTAAATATGTATAAAATTCCGTTATCTTTTTTATAACTTGTAGTTAAAGTATTTTATTTGCAAATCGTTAAAGTAATTAATTCTTATATTTTCATATTAACGCATGCAATCTATTTTATGATGCATTTTACTATAATATATACATTAAAACCTAATATTCTTATATAAATAGTATTTAACTAACTTTTACACCTGACTTTATTTGTTAAATTAGAGGAAAAGTAGGTGCTCTGCATTTGGACCTATTTGTATACCTACATTTATATTGTTGATTCTGAGAAAATTTTAAGTAAACTTCATAGTTATTTTAGTCAGTATAACTATTGTAGATAAGTTGAATTCCCGTGAAATTAAAATATATGGAATGTAAAATTTCTGTACAAAAAATATTTAGATAAATTTCGACATTAAATCATGAAATTTTCATAAACAAACAGACAGACATTTGAGCTTTCACTGTTAGTGTTGTGTTGGTAATGACATAAAAATAGTAATATGTATGTATTTTTAAAATAAATGACAGGCGCACTAACTTTATATAAGAAAATTATAATTTAAAAATGACTGACTGACTTGACTCTTAGGACTATTAAAGACTAAAATAAACATGGGAATAGGCAATACACATAATATTTATTGATACAAAAACCGAATTAGGTTCTTTAAAATTAGTAATTAATATAAACTGGAATAGTTATCCCTAGCACCATAATAATATTTATTAATATTACAATTATATCATTAACACCACAATTCATTAATTAATGAATTATTCAATTATTTGCATAATTTCATTTTATTGTGAATTTTCTGTTATTTTTTATAATTATTTTATTAACAATACTAATTATAATTAATATATTAAAAAATATAATTTTACAGATGCAACATGCTTATGTCGTTTTTCGAGCTTATCGGTTGGAAGCAGTGTTGGATAGAGAGGTAAATGTGCGAAAGAGACAGCACGTAGATTGGTAGGCAGAGTAGAAATGGTAGTTTTTGTTGAAAATATGGTAGAAAAAATACTCGTATTGGTAATTTTTGGCTTTGGGTTTTTTTTCTGAATTGAAGACTTTTATTTACGTGCAGAGACTATTCTTAATTATTTTTTCTTGTTTTATTCTAAACCAAACAACGTTATTCTAAATAAATTGCATGTTAATTCATAATAGGATATATTTATACTTTTATCGAAAGAAAAATAAAAGTGCAGTAGCATTTTTAGTTTATTTATTCTGTTCATTTGTAAATAGTTTATTTTTTTTATAATAAAAAAAGTTTTTTTTTATTTACAACTATTTAAAATTGATTTGTTCTACATAAAAAAAATTTAGTTTTAAACAACTTTCGCACATTCCTCTTCTATAGAGTAGTAGTTTGTAAGATTTATTGTATAATATTGCATGATCACTTGCATGTGTAATTACTAATGTTTTTTACTTACAAAAAATAACTATTTTCTTCCGCTTTTCATACATATATGCTTGACATTACATTTTTAGTTGATTCGATTACCGGTTCAGGTAAGATTTTTTTTAATAAATAAATGCAGTTATCATTATTATTTTTTAAGATAAAGATGTTTTCTTTGAGTGAATTTTGATAATTTCAATATTTAGAGTACTTTTCTTCCAAATCCCATCCATTTGTTCCACTTTGTACACGATAAATAAAACTCTAACAATAATATAGCCATGCTTTGCTTTCTGAAGATGAATTTTGTCATATATTTTTTCTTTTTCAAACAAATCTAAAAACTTTTTGAGCAATAATAAATTGTTTTATTCAATTTACTGTAAACAATGATGTAAGAACCCGTTTAAAACTTCTTAGCATGTTTTTCATAAGTCTTATGTACAAATATCTTTTCCGGTCTAGAAACGTTTTAATGATCAGAAAAAATGACATTCTGTATGATGAAAACAAAATTTTTTCCCATATAAATATCGAAAGTACAACCTACGATTATAATCTCGTCATTGAGTAGATTCTGGGTTATTAAGGTTAAGGAGAGTTCTAATTTGATAGATAATATGAAATTGGTACCAAAAATATCTTGAAGGTTAGGTCTTAAATATCTTAAGTTCTACTTTAGTATATTGGTATCAATTTAAAACTCCTTGACCTTTCTGTAGTAAAAGGCCCTTTTCTATCCTTATGGAAAATCTCGGTTATTTCTATCTGTTATCACCAAAAATATTTTTATATAATGCTACCATAAAATAGCTAGTATTTGCGTATCAATGGTATATTTTTACATCTTAATATATAAAATTCCCGTGTCACGATGTTGGTCCGAGATGAACTCTGAAACTTAAACGATCCTATTGTACTGTTTTATAAATGTGTGATTTGTTCTAACTTAAAAGTTAGAATAGATTTTATACCGATTTTTTCCTTTTTTTTATTAAAAAAATATCGATTTTCATATTATGTATGCCACAGCAACGCGTATCGGGTCTGTTAGTATGAATTTAAATAAATAAAATATTAATTATTGTAATTAGATTTTCAAATTTTTTTGTTATGTTATATATAATTTTACCCTTTAACATAACATACTTTTAATTTCCCATTTATTGCAAACATTTTTTTTAAATATTTAAGTTAACTACTAGCTAACTTCTTACAGAATAATGTTTAATAAATAAATAATTATATGAAAAAGATATATATAAACGGTAATGATTGAAACGCTTCATAGCCTTTTCCGACGTTTTAATTTAAATTGTCAATATTTAATAAATGATGATAAATAATTATTAATATTTAATAATATATATTAATTATTTAATATTTCCTTATATTTAAAAGCGCCTAACTTCTATTTTATTAGTTTTTACAAACTAACTTGCATAATCATTAAACCGACGCGACGATGCGAAAAATTAATACCATGGTCAAATTATTCCTACTGTACCGGAAGTTGCAGATTGAAGCCCTTTGTGCTGTCCCTTTCGGGACATATATCATATTAAACATAAGTCTAGTGGCTTTTACGTCTAGATATGGAGGTCCTGGGATTTTTTAGTATAGATTTCTCAGAGATGATATATTTTCCCGCAGTAAAAAGTATCCTATATATTGACCCGGATAACCAGCTATCGTCATCATCAAAATCTGCCCTGTGGTTTTCTCGCGATGCGATCACCGACGGACAGACAAAAATTGAAAAAACTATTTATTCAGCCTCAGTATCGATAATAATGACTATTTCAAAAAGATTTTCCATAAAATGTTAATTACAGATTTGACTTAGAATTTTATTATACGAGTGTGTATAGATTTGTCATGGTCTGAATGTATAGACAGTTCTAGGATCTGACAGGTTGATCTATACGAACCGTTAAGTGTGTGGCGCAAGTAAAAGCTTTAAAATATTTGTTTTTAGTTTTTACTTATAAACCTGCTTTGCAGTGAAGTTTAAACACCTTCCACAATATTGTATAATCATAAATACCATACGTATAAGACTATATTCATTCTGTCTCGCAAATACTGTGAAATGATCTTTCTTCTGAGGTTTTGAACGTGATAATATAGTGCTCTTCAAGAGTCCTGCCTTCAGATCCGTTAAAGACCGGTAACTCTTCTATAACACCCTTTATGTTGCAGATGGCTATGTGCGATGATAATAACTTACCATAAGGCAGTGTCTACTCTTTGGTCACAGTTTTGTAATAAATAAATTAAAAAAAAAATATTTCAATTAAATGCCGGAACCGGAAAGGCAATACAATCAAATAAAAAAAGACTGCATAATACAGTAAATATGTTGCTCAGTCAATTTTCATCTTTTTATATTGCTTTTTATGCAGTCGGGATTTTTTTATAATATATATTTTTTAATAAAATGTATACATATAAGCTTCAATGCACTAAAAAGTAAAAAACAAGTGAACGGAAGTTTTATTTTCAACAGGAAATTAAACAGATCTTTTTATATAGTTCATGTTTTATGCCAACTGATGCAAAGCAATTGTAGTTAATGCTGTTCATATCTAAATGGGTTGGTAATTATTTTTAGCCTTATAATAAAATTTAATTTTAATGAAAATGGGACTGCCTTAAAAATTACATCAATAAAAAAAATTAAATATATAAATTGTGAATATTAAATAAACTTAAATACATTAATGTCAATAATGCAAAATTTGATTTGATTTGATGCGATTTGATGAACATATGTGTGTATTTATGTGTATAAGCGTCAAACGTCATATATTGTACAGCTCATTTAATTTCTATATAAATATACTATTTTTTCTTTATAATATACTAATAATATAAAGGGTCAGAGTTAGTTTATTTGTTTGAACGCGCTAATCTCAAGAACTACTAATCCGATTTGAAAAATTCTTTTTGCATTAGATAGCCCGTTTATTGAGGTAGGTTGTAGGCTATATATCATCATGCTACTACCCAAGGGAGCGGAGCAGTAATCATAAATATCAACAAATCGGTCAGACTTCTATACATTATTGTAAAACTGATGTTTATTTGTTCAAGCGCTTTTTAAGCTCAGAAACTTTGGTCAAATACTCGTCGTGTAGAGAGTAGATATATGAAACAGGCATATATGTATAATCAAATATAACGCGGGTAAAACCATAGGGCACAGCTAGTATTACTATATTTCACATATCATTTCCATGTACATCGCATGTGGTATACTAATTAGGTCGCCCTACTTCGCAATTTTACATTGCTACTCTTGCAAGAGAATAATAACAATAACATAAAGACGTTTACGCAATGCACTCGCGTGTCGTGCGAGATTGGTCATTTTATTTATTATATTTTAACGATTTCCTGCTATTTTCAGTTTTATGATCCATTTCGTAAATATTTCGTAGTCAAATTGGCGAATCAGTCATTTTATTAGACGGCTGAGTTTTTTATTGGTTATTATTATAATAAATTGTCAATTGCTTAAAACATTATGTTGTAAAAATAATTGAAAGAACAAATATTACTATATATATGGCCTAGAAGTTTTTTTTAATGGATATTTTCATAACACTAGCACTATACTCACAAGCACTACCACTATAGTAAAATGAAAATCGTTTTGAAAGTTACTATTTAACGAACAGTATTTAAAAAAACATATATATATATATATATATATATATATATATATATATATATATATATATATTTGTATATTTTTTTAATGTAACTTGAATGACTCTATGAACACATTCACTCTGTAACTTAATCGGGAAACATTTTAAGAATCGAGACCTCCCTTACACCCTATTTCTCGATTTCTTAACATATTTTCTATTTTTCAAATATTTCAATTGAAATATCTATTATAAATACATTAATAAGCTTTCCCAATTCTTTTATCTTCCTAATGTAAAAAAAACTGTAATTATACGCTGCATTTTCATAATACCTTCTTTTATAGTCAACGTGAAATATTCGTAACATTTAAAAATCCAATTAATGTTAAAAATCCATTTTTTAATCACTAAATCATACTTTTCAGATGTGGAGGGTCACTTATATCTCGACGTCATGTAGTAACAGCCGGCCACTGTGTTGCGCGGGCGCAACCTCGTCACGTGCGCGTCACGTTGGGCGATTACGTCATAAACTCAGCGGCAGAACCACTGCCTGCGTACACTTTTGGTGTAAGGACCATTAAGGTTTGTAAATTAAATTTAATTTATATGGATAATACAATATAATATTCTTCATTGCACTTATATGTAATTCTGTTCATAAATATTTTTTGGGTTGTATTATAACGTGTTTTCCCGCGGGAATAAGATGATCTCCCGCGATAAAAATTAGCCACTCTCCAGCTGTGATAAATGTGAGTGTGTTTGTTTGTTTGTCCTTCTTTCATTGGTGGATTGGCGTGATTTTTGGCATGGAGATAGTTGTAGGGCTGGAGAGTGACATAGGCTACTTTTTACCGCGGGAGATTATCTAATTCCCACGGAAAAACACGTTATAAGACAATCCAAAAAATATTTATGATCAGAATACTTGAAACTTGGTATTAATGCTCTTTAATAAAGTTAAATAAATACGTATTTCAGCATTTTTCGAAATTCATCCTATAAGGGGGTGAAATAGAAGATGAAAGTTTCTACGAAACTATCTTTTTAGAGATTTCTTTTGTTATTTTAGCGCGAGCGAAGCCACGGGTTCTGCTAGCAGGCTATAATTTTTAAAGATATAGTTAACAGTTATTAATAACCCGATTGCGTAAAAAGTTACCCAAAAAAGAAAGGACCAAGTTAACGAAGTTAACAGGGAGATATACAATAAAATATGACTAGATAAAACTACTTTCTTAATTTGAAAGTGTAGATGTTTGGATGGATGTTTGTTACTCCATCACTCCAGAACGGCTGAACGAATCTGGATGATATTTGGCATATGAGTACTTTATAGTCTGGAATAGCACATAGGCTACTTTTTATCCCGAAACCGAAACCCGAAACGGTAACCGTAAATTTGGTTACCGTGGAATAGATTTGTTGAATTGCTAACATTTATAAATGCTACCGTGTTAATACACGGTAGCATTGTATATATTTTGATTAAAAATATTAAATATTTAATTTAAATAAAATTTTTAGGTTCATCCACTGTTCAAATTTACCCCACAAGCCGACCGATTCGACGTTGCTGTGCTCACGCTTGACCGAAACGTACATTACATGCCTCACATAGGTAAGTATGGCCGAGATACAAAATGATTTTGAACAATAGCATAATTTATCATTATTTTCAATTTAATTTAAAATTTATAATCTATACTATATAAAGAGTTTGTTTGTTTGTCTATGTTAATTTCTAGATCTATTGGACAGAATAAAGAAATCTTTGTTATTAGCCTATTTATTAAGGGAGGTTATCTTCTATCAAACCACGACCTACGAAAGCAGAGTAGTTCTGCAAAATTATAAGACGTGGGCGGAGCCAAGAGCAAACGCTATATTAGGATAAAATTTTTTAATCTTATGAACACTCATTACTAAAGACGCATGTGGAACCTCTTTTGAATGTTACTCCCACTGCTGAAAAAGCTTTGCTTTGCTGATTTTGCTGAAAGTTTGTGTATATGTGCGTTTGTGTATATTTATTACTCCTTCCCGCTTAAAGGGTTAGACGAATTTGGACGATATTTAGTACATAGTGTAATATATAGTAGAATGTACCTAGAACTCACAGGCTTTAGTTAGTTTTAATTTTTTATTAGTAGGCATTAGTAATATAATTTGCCAAATGGTGATGCTACATGCTTTGATATTATAAATACATAAGGAACCTATAGATGCAATCATGAAAAGCAAGGGTATGTCTGCACCGTCTTCACATGCGTTCAAACTTCCAATCACTACCAAAATTCACCGGATCACCCGCTGGTCTAATCTGAAGATTGCCTGAAAATTTCATAAAAATCGCTCCATCCGTTTTGGAGTCCATAGGGAATATACACACATCGATTTTTACATAAACATATATAGATGTATTAAATTTTCAGCTCCAATATGTCTCCCAGAGCGAGGATCGGAATTCCTAGGGCAATATGGTTGGGCGGCCGGATGGGGAGCTCTTAGTCCAGGGTCAAGACTACGCCCGAGAACGCTTCAAGCTGTGGACGTACCAGTACTTGACAATAGAGTGTGTGAACGATGGCATCGAGCTAATGGTGAGACTGCATATTTACGAATTATTTTCATATTAGATATATTACAATAGCCATTTTTGGGGACTATGTTGTTTGTTTGTTTGTTTTCGGTTTGCATTTAAACAAGGGTTAACGGATAAATAAAAATGTATTACATATACAAGATTATATACACAAAAATTAAATTATTATATTAGTCTCAGAAGTAAATAAGGTCACACTTCACTCATATGCTTACTGGATCAAGCTTTTTTTAATAAACATCACATAAATTCCCGCAGACAGACAGATAGACTGACGGACAGACAGACAGACAGATATACTGACGGACAGCGGAGTCTTAGTAATAGGGTCCCGTTTTACCCTTCGGGTACGGAACCCTTAAAATGATCCGAATCCGATGAATAAAAAATATCGCTAAGCAAAAAATGAACTATTTATAATTTAATACATATCTATGTTTTATTTCAGGTATAAACGTAGTAATATATCCAGAAATGCTCTGCGCTGGGTACCGAGGAGGTGGAAAGGACAGTTGCCAAGGAGATAGTGGAGGCCCGCTCATGTTGGAGCGGTCTGGAAGATGGTTCCTTATAGGAGTTGTATCTGCCGGTTATTCGTGTGCCAGTCGAGGCCAACCTGGTATCTATCATAGAGTGGCTCACACTGTAGACTGGATCTCACACGCTACCTTGTCATAATGAAAACTACCATTTTAATACGTAAAAACTACTAATTTGGTAGAAATTAAAAATTAAATACCATTTTGGTAGAAATGTCACAAAATCTTAGAATATTAATTGACATTGACAATACGCTTAATGAAAAGCTACTGATATATTTTTTTTAATATTCAACACAAACTAAATCATATTTTACCAGATTATGTAAGAAATTAAATGTTTTTTTTTTAGATTATTCATATTATTTCAAGTTGGCATCGAACTAATATGACTTTCAAGTGATAATTAATTATGATTATAAACAATATAACATTTTCTTTCCCTTTTATAAAGGTATGCCTTTTATAATGATAACTAAATATAATTACAATAACAGACATTTTTACAATTTTTTATGTAATTTTTTGATATTTTATACTTATTATAAAATTTGACTGTATTAGCGAAAATGTGATAAAATTTGATTGCAATAGAAAAATACTCGCGTTGTTCGGAATAAAAGTGCCTAAGTAAGTCTTATTGTAAATAATTTAATGTACATAAATTACAAGTAAAACGAAAAAGCCGTATTAGTCGATATTTTTCAGTTTACCATATTATTAGTACTGTAAATATTATAATAATTTAATCATACTGCTTTAATAAATTATTTCAATTTAATTTTTTTTTTCAATTTTTACAATTTCTTTTTAATTATAAGGATTTATGTAAGTAAAAAAACGTCTATGATCCACTATTTAATGTCATTAAGTTAATTAAATATATTTATTGTTAATTTAAGAAGAGTTTTATTTTAAAAATCTACAGTTTACATAATAAATAAGAAAACAGAATAAAATGTATACATACTTTATCAAGATTTTTGCCAAAAAAAAAAAACAATTTTCCAATACTTCCCAAGCTATGGCTATGTAACGAGTAAGCGTGTATCTGTACCATATTTTACTAGTACAGATGCCTCATTCCATACAAAGAAATAGGACAGCGCTGATTCGGGCTATTCTTCGGTTTATTTTAGTTTGCTTTGTCACTTTAAATTGTTCATTTCAGTCACTTTTAGCAGTTTTTAACTGTAATAAATGACTTTTACAGTTTAAATAGCGCCATCTGTAAATATAAACTTCAAACACATTACTTGACATCTGATTTTTAGATAATCAATAAAATTATCTTTAATGCTTCCCCCATTAATGTCTCTTTACTGAAAGGTATTTTAATACCTTTTTTGGATCTACTTTTTATAGTTTATTAATTTTTGACTATCTTCGATAGCAAATCGATACTTATAAACTGTTGACATTTATTTTTTCTTTGTTCCCGATGGAACCTCATGTATAACTAAATCATGACTAACAACTTATATTATAAATATATATAAATTATAAATATTATATTATAAATATATATAGAAATATTTAATTTATTTATTAACTTTTTCCATCTGACACTGTCGACTTCAATTATATGCGTATGATATGTCTATATTTTAAATAAAGACTTTTAATTCCATAACTTATGCATTAATTTGATTAATAAAATAAAGAAATACATTAATGAGATACTATTATTATTATAGAAATATAATAATAAATAAAAAAACTACTTACATGTATTTATTATAACTAATATTATGTTAAAATAAATTATTATTTTTTATCATCATTAAATTATATCGTATTGATCATCAAAAGTTAATCATTAATCATTAATCATCATTGGTTACCATCCAATAGGTATTTTATATTTATCTGCAAGTTTCATTAAAATTTGATAAAGCGGACGATAATAACGTTTCAAAGCAGATGCAGATATATTATTTTCTCCGATCGTCTCTTGAAGTATTTTCTGCCAGGGTTGGGAATGTCCACGTGACATTAGATCCCTAAAAAAATATTTAGATAAATATTAATGTGCTCCAGACCGATTTAGACCACGATGGCTAATCTCACTGAGACTCGCCATCTTAACATAAGATATTATAGTACAAAAGAATGTTTTTGTGCACTATAATATACCCGGGTTATAGTTGCAAAACTGGACAGTGACAGGAATTTAACAGGCATTTGACAACCGGTGAGGCATCAGGCGTAGGAGCAACATTTGAAAATGAAAACCCAATGAATTTACTTGGTGCCACATGAGACTCGAACCCACGACCTTCGGATCTGCAACGACTTGTTATTGATATAGTTAACGGCTAAGAAAGTTTTTTTTTGATTTGGTAGGAAAGTGAAAAGGGTTGCTGGTATTCTATAAATCCCGTAAGAATAAATTAAAATGAACATTAAAAATTTAATAACACACTCTCGAAGCGAAAAATTTTATACGTACTACATGAGAATCTTTGCTAACATTATAAGTATGTATTCAGCCCTTTTTAAACGTCCCACTGCTGGGCGTGGGCCTTCCTTCAATACGAGGGGGATCAGGCCATAGTGCACCACGCTGACCAAGTGCAGATCGGCGGACTTCACATGTCTTTAAAAACTTGCTAGATTCTCTCAGACATGCAGGTTTCCTCACGATGTTTTCCTTCACCGTAATACAAGTGGTAATCATGTTGGAAACGATTAACACATGAAAATATTAAAGGTGCGAGACCCGGGATTTGAACCCGCTTCTCTCGGTTTCCCAAGCAAACGCGTTACCACTGGACTACCACTGCCACATTATAAGTACAAAAATAAATTTATTATATGATACCCATTCACAGCTACGGTAGAATTTTTAAGATACTTTTATTATCTTCAATCTTCACTTGTAACAAAAGCAAAAAAAATAAAATGTCTTACTTCAAAATCTTCCCAGCTGTCTTAGACCCGTAAATATCACATCTATTTAGATACATGGAGATAGGTAATGGATCTTTTATATTACGATGGCCGAAGACTGCTGCTTTACAAAGATTCTCAAATAACTGATGCTGGAAGAAACTGCTTAGAAAATATCTGTAATGATATAAATATGGTATCAAATAAGGTTTTCCCGTGCAGTGATTTGGCTGTCTATTCCAATCTATTTCTAACCGACTTCAAAAAGGTAGGCTATATTTTAATCTTCCATAACGGTGAACTGATTCTTATGATTTTTATCCGACTTCAAAAAGGAGGTTCTCAATTCGATTGGTATTTTCTTATGTATATACACTGATTACGCTGAGAATTTTATGATCCGATTTATGTGATTCTTCTTTTCTTTGATGCTTAATAGCCATTTGGTCCCATAAAAATTAAACATAGTTTTCATTTTATGAACTTTTTTTATGAATTTTTTGTTTACGTGGACGATGTAATTTTATTTTAGTTGAAGTCGGCACCTTTAGTATAGATTTCTCATATCGCGGCGAGTGTAGGTACCTACTATTACATTTAGCTTGGCACCGACTTCAAACCTATCATAGGTAGCACATACAATTAATAGTATTTTATTAATATTAAAGGTAGCATAACAGGTGTATTGAATTAAATCTTTATTAAGTTATTTTATACTTTTTAGTTTTTGAAGTCAACCGACTTCAAACGTAGTTTTTTAAATTAAATTAATAGGTACGATCCGTCTTATAATAATATATAGACTTTTAAATTAAGTATTATTTAAACAATAACAGTGTAAAAATTTAAAAAGATCTTGAAAAAAATAATAATTCTATAAACCATTTACCTTACAAAAGGAGTATTATCTGATACATGAAACTTCGCCCCAATATCAAAATATTCTTCACCTCTTTCATTGGGGGGTGAAATCCCTTGAAATTTCATAGCCATTGCCCAAAATTCCTGATTCAAATAATCTTTATCTAAACTACCCTCGAAATATCTCCATCTATATTCATCTATGATATACGCAAATGGTATTTGTGGTAATTTATTTAAAGCTTGTTTAAAGATTAATATTTCGTCTATAGTTATTTTGTCAGGATCTTCAAAGTTACTACTTCGTTCATTTAACACTTTGCTATCAGTTTTTGTATCAAAAATATCTAATTTAGAAAATTCTGCACCATTTTTAATTATCTTTTCTATATAGTTTATATCTTTGTTAGAATTTGTATTGAATAGTTCAGAGTCATTGATTATACGAAGTCTATGTAGATGTTGTGGTGTCATGACAGCTTGCATGATGGTGTCCCCAATAGCTTCATGTAAAAATGAGTTTGCTTGCTAAAAAATAGAAGAAAATAGCTTAATGGATATAGGTCAAAGGGCAAACTCAAACTATATAAATTTTAAGCAATAGCAATCTTACCCTAAATAATCCTGGCTGGTTTTCATAAGCCATATAATATTGTATGTGACCCATTTCATGATGTATCACATAAAAATCTTTGAATGTACATTCTGAACAATATAGAAGCCTGAAACAATAAACTTAAAATAGAATCATATAATTTTGATTATAATTATATTAAAAACTAGCGACTCTGCCTCGCTTCGTTTCAGGTTCGACTCTAGACAAAAACAAATTTATCCCACAGGAACAGTACATTTTCCGGGATGACATATAGCTTGTAGCCTTCCTCAATAAACGGACTATCTAATTCAAAAAGAATTTTTCAAATCGGATTAGTAGTTTTTGAGATAAACGCGTTCAAACAAACAAACAAGCAAACAAACAAACAAACAAACAAACAAACAAACAAACAAACAAACAAACAAACAAACAAACAAACAAACTCAGCTTCTTTATAATATTGGTATAGACGAACAGAACCTGCGGCTTCACCCGCGATCGAATTACGGCAAAAAGAAACTTTTTCGCTACGCATACTTTGTTATTTGCAAAAATAAGTTCGTGTTAGATTTCGTGTTCTTAAAGATATAAGGAAAATAAATTTAATTTTAGCGATCGTAACTCAAAATAATACTACCACTCTGATGTTTAATGAATTACTCAGTATATCCCCGTTACATAGCGTAGGTGACTTTTTCATTACAGTTGTGCATTAAAAAAATACAAAGCAGAAAAGGTTTATGATATCTGAATTGTCAAAGAATGACAGCTGCCATATTTCCGTGGAATTAAAAATCAGACTATAAGTTGCTTCCCGCTGTCTATCTGTCCCTATGTATACTTAGATCTTTAAAACTATGCAACGGACATTGATGCGGTTTTTTTAATAGATAGAATGATCCAAGAGGAAAGTTTTAGTATATAATTTTGAGTTTTTGTGTACATTGGCTAAAATATAACGATATTTGTTGGAGGTGTCGGAAAAAATAAGCCGTCTGGGAGTTCTCAACGAAAAAGCTGCCTAAACCCTTTGAGATATAACAAAATAATAAATATGTTGGGACATTTTATGCAATTAATACGTAGAATATTTAAGGATTTATTCTATAAATCGTACACTTTAGAAACACGATTACTTATAGTTTCCTCGATAGAAAAAAAATCCAAAATGATCTCTAAAAAACAAAATAAATATCTAATTCAAGGGAGTTCATCAGTTCTTTAATAATAACAAAACTATACGTTTTCTATATCGTATACACTTTACATTTTCAAAATGTGTATTTGTTTTAATAATACGAAGGAAATACCTAAATTCGTACGACTTCCGTACAACCTAGCGAAACCCCCCACCCCCACACACCACCCCCATCCCACCCCACCCCTCTCCCCCTCCCGCCCTGCTCTCTGTCGTCCTACTAAAATCAATTAGCGCCAAAAGCTTTTAATGTTATTATAATAAATAACAGGGTACAATAAAAGATAATATTTCGAGTTCTGAATCGCGCTATTAAAGTTTTGTATGGTCATTACTATAGATGCAGTTTCAAACGCAATTCAGTCGTGCCTGCTTCGGCAGTACGTAAGTACTGCCCAAGCAGGGACGTTTTATATCGAAAGAACATTATAATATTATTCATATAATAAAATTGTAACTAAGCCGAATTTGTATATTAGATATTTTTTGGAAAATCTTTTGAAATAAACATTATTATCGATACAGAGGCCAAATCTATAGTTTTTAGAATTTTTGTCTGTCTGTCTGTCTGTTACCGCATTACAGAAAAACCACTGGAGGGATTTTGATGAAATTTGGTATGGTGATAGCTGGTTATCCGGGTCAACACATAGGATACTATTTATCGCGGAAAAATATCTCCTTTTTGAGAAAAATATAAAAACTGCAATGTAAGAGTATACAAATATGTAAAATCTAAGAATTTGATTTTTGGTCATCGGGACGAGGGCGGAGCCGCGGGCAATGCTAGTCGTTAATATAATATTAACAATCACTGTCATAATGTTGTATATAAATATTTTATTGTATATATAAACACTAAAATTCGAACGATACAGGCAACATTAGCATGGCCCCTGCGCAAGGATGACACGCAAAATCGAGAAGCGTTCCACATTTTTTTGATCATTTAAGACTAAGCAAATTTAAATACATAATTTCCCATGGCATCCATTGCTGTACAGCATTCAAAGCGTCGGGGATCAAGAGCTGCAGTAAATCCAAAAAGATAGTTTTATTTTAAAAACAGATATCCATTTCTTATGACTTTTCAACCGAGTTAAAAAAGAAGGAGTTGTGCCGTATGTTTCTTAGTATGTACGTCACGTAATACACAAATCTTCGTTAAATGATTTATATCGAGTTTTGAAGTGACTACTTTTGGCACGTTTGGAAAAAAATATGAGAGTAAAATTTTTACGATGCGCGCGCACACCGACAGCCAAAACGCGACATGATGAAGTTAGCCGCATTCCTTTTACAAACAGACGTGACACACGTTTACAGTTGTGACGTACGGGATGAAATCTTTAGCTATTTTTGTTCTGTTACGCCAAAGAAGTATAACTTCTTACGTGCGTACATACAGTACACACACACGTTTTTTTAATCATTACGAATGCATTAATTAATTTATGATCATTTTGAAGTTAATGTGCTTTATTTAGTTAAAATTGTTTCTGTCAAAAACTCAACGTTTTGCTTTATAGGTGTCTTCCGTAAAGTAGGTAATAGAATTTACAAGTACTACATAAGTCTTTTTTCGCCAACCTTTCATTTTTGCTCTACTGAAGCATCAGATTTTATTTGTATTCACTCTTACTTAACTATCATATACCTACACTCGTAAATTACAAAGATACCTACTTATAAGGAATTTCTTTCATTCCGTGGGAATTACTAATAATTGATTGTAATTGTAAAATGTTTAATTATTTTTGAGCAAGCAATTAAAGTAAAAGTTATGTAAGAAGTAGGCTGTACGTGACAAAATACAATTCATGTGTCATTGACCTATGTCAATATCGATAGCATTATTTACAAAATTAAAAGTATATATTTTATAGCTTGCTTCCCAATACACACTTTTACCCCATTCTCATCCCCTTAAGGGGTGATTTCTGAGAAAAAGTATCTCAAACAATCTCCTTACGAAATTTCATCTAAATCGGTTCAGGAGATCCAGAGATTACAAACAAACTCACAAACTTTACCTCTTTATAATATTAGTATAGCTAGCGACTCACCCTAGTTACATTTTAACAATTAGTGTAGTGTCTCAGAGATGAGATATTTTCCCGCAGTAAAAAGTATCCTATATGTTGACCCGAATAACCAGCTATCTTCATACCAAATTACATCAAAATCTGTCCAGTAGTTTTCTCGTGATGCGGTCACACACAGACAGACAGATTTTTTTAAACTATAGATTCGTCCTCCTTATTTATAATAATGACTATTTGAATAAAATTTTCCAAAAAATATTTAATGTACAGATTCAACTCAGTTACAATTTTATTTTATGTATAGATTTTAAACATTATCATTTAATTCATTTTAAGCTGTGGCAACACTAACCTAAAGTCATCCGGTTTAAACATGTCCGCCGCACTGCCGTGACAGCGCGCGTCTGTCCTATTTTCCCGCTTAAATACAGATTTCTTCCAGAATTTATTTGTCATTAGCGGCAAACCAAGTGATACATAGAAATCTTCAGCTTTTTTAACCTTAAAAATTCAATATAATAATATTAAATTTATAAAAAAAAAGAAATATATTTAATGACTATTATTATTATATACTTCATAAATAAAATCATTGGGAAATAGACGACTAAAATAAATTTAATTTAATACTGGAAAAGGATTTTTTTTTTATTTTCAACAAAATCATCTCTGTCGAATAGAGGATTAAAATAAAGCTATTTATTTCGTAAAAAAAGAAAGGTATCACGCGGGGTTTGAAATAGGGATGTTTTGTGAATATCACAGTGAAGATGGTTTTGTTTTCGTGAAGGTTAATAATAAAAAAAATACCATATCTATTACTGTCCAGTTCAGATGACTGATACGATGATCTAAATTTATTGTTTTTGGTAGCATCAAATCAGCCAATGGCTCCCAATTTTGTGCCCACAGATCACCTTTAAATTGAAAGAATATTAAGGCTTTAACTAATTATAATTATTAATGTATCGATTATAAATAACTCTATATTAACAAATTATGGGGAATCGGCTTAAAATATTTATAAAAATCAATTTTTTTATGTAAATTTTCAAAGGAAAATATTTTTTACATGCCAGCAGACACAAATCAAAACATACCGACTTCAAAAATATCTGATTAGGTATCTTTCGTAAATGAAAACTATCAATTAGTTATTTTTTTTACTTTTTAGTGTTTTGTTATTGAAGTCGGTTTATATTATTCTTTGAAAAGTTTTTATAAAACAAGATTTTTGTGTCTCGTATGTCTTCTAATTAGACAAAAAGGCGTACAGATTAATTAGTGTCAACCTTTACCATAGCGTTACTCTCAATAGACATAAAAGTATAAGATATTCTTAATCATCCATCATTAGTTCTATCATATTGACAATAAATACCTAACAAATGTGCTGGTATAGGTCCCGTTTCAGGTACAATAGCCCCATAATGTTGCCGAAGATAAAACCTGATAACACTATGAAGAAGGGTGTACAATGGCTTAATGCTTTCATATAAATGAAAAGTAAGCTGTCTCAAGTTAGGTATTTCAAGATCATCTCGCCAAGAAGCTCCAATGTCAGAGTAGCCTGTGGGTTTAAAATGATTTAAATACATTATTAACTATGATAATAATATTTACAAACGTAGACGTAAATTTTTACAAATTGAAATTTTGATGAGGTATTAGCTTACACTTAGCTAGTACAGTTATATATCTGTAATACTCTGAGATCCCGATCTATCTAGGTACTATATGGAACTCGCACTCTTTTTTCCAGACGAAATATATTTTTAAACCATAAATCATATTAACAAAAACGGATTGGTTTTGGTATGATAACCCTATATCATTAAATTTGTTATAATCTCGATACTTCACTTTTTTACTCTAAAAACGATACGAGCAATTAATTACTTCAATATACCTGTTCATACCTGGATGTCAGGTAATGTTTACATTTTGTCTGAAAAAAAAACACCTGTTAACTGGTGTTTTTTTTTTTCAGAAAAAAACGCTGAACGAAGCTTTGCGTCCAGGTAATAAATGAAATATGTATAATGAAACAGAAAATTTTCATTTACTAGAATGAAAAAATATTATTTTTTTCGAAACAAAAGTAAAAATATTCTTTAATTAAAGTAAAATAGCATACCGTTTCTTCTAGCAGCTATATTCTCCAATTGCACTAGTTTATCATATGGTTCCTTCATAGACTTGATCTTTTCTCTCCAAACTAGCCAAAACCATTCCAATACACTAACATTTCTCGAGTGTTCCATAATCTTTTGAAAATCTCTTTCCCCTTTAACACATGCTCCTTCTTTTTTAATTCCGAAAACAACCGATTTGTGCTCTGTTATAATATATTTCTCAATATCAGCTATCAATTTAATTACTGCATCTTCAATTGCCGTTACGTTTTCCGAATTTGAAGTATTGGGTATACATATTTCTACGTCAGAATATATGAATTGTAGCTCCTCATATAGATCACTCATTTCCCTGGAATGCGAAAATTAAAAAAAAAGTTACTTAAGGTCTTTTTAAGTTATGATATTTAAATTAGAGTTCGCGCAAGATAAGTTTGCACGCGACTGGCGGCGTACATAATATTAGATAAAAGAAATAGACTAAGTAACGAAACCCTCAACGGGTTTCTTCAAATTAAACTGGAAATGTTAGCTAACTACTTCCCTTTTTGGAACCTGATAGTGCCATCGTGAATGCTGGGAAAAGCTGCAGAAGCAGTGCTACTGGTCTCTAAAATATTTAAAATTGTAATCTTGTTTGTCGTTATTTTTGGGTATTTTCCATCGAAAGTAGGGTAAAACCGGAATCTAAAGTGGAAACACTGCTCCTGACATAAACAACAAGATGGCGGCACCTGGTTAGTTCCGAATTCGGCCGCGCGCAAGTAATTGTCATTCGTAATATCATCTAAACATACATACATACATACATACATACATACATACTTACATACATACATACATAGTACATATAATAAAATAGTAACAAAGCGAAATCTGTACACGAAATATTTTTTAAAAACAATGACTATTACGTGTTATGTACAGAATATAGAATCCAAAACAATAGTTATTGAAATTAATGTCTGTATGTCTGTACGTTTCACGCAAAAAGGTACTAAAGGACTTAAGGTAAATCGTGTACAGTGATTCTTTGTTTTTAATCAGAATATTTAAAAATTACTCCACATTTGATATTTGAGATTATATCAACTTTAATAAAAAAACTTTTACCAATGTACACAACTAAACGCGGAGTAACATTTAATATAGGTACCTATTTAATAAATTAATTTAAAAAAAACGACTTTAAAATACCATGGACGTAATAAATAATAATATTATATAAAATTAGCTTAATATTAATCTTACCTAACTTCACTAAACGTAAAATTTGGTCCTTTACATAGTAGATACGCTTGTCTTTCCTGGTTCGAATTTAAAGTATGAGAATAACGTTCATGCCAATGTGCCAGCCTCTGGCATACTTTCTGTTGCCAAAAGATTCTTTTCTTTTGATAATCCGATGCCATTTCTGCCAAGCCTGGCTTGCCAGGATCAAGAGAAGATTGCCAAGCTATATCTGCAGCCATGCCATTAAACTTCTTGGCAACTTCATTGACTTCTTCAAAAAAATATTGAAGGGAATCTTCGCATGTATGAGTTTTGAACAGTAATAATAAAAGCAAAACCATAGCCATATTTGTTTTTTTTTATATCATAGATATCCGGTTGAAAATCGATGCCCTGTAAAAAAAAAAACAATTTAAATTACCTTTGCAAATTTTTAATGCATAACGAATTATAAATTAAAAATTTTAAAAACCCCCTACGCAAATTGCCATTTACGATTACACTGGCACGCGTGAAGCACTTAATCGAGTAATCATACGCCAAAATACCTTACATCATTTTGGAAAATAGCTGATACTCTTACACTGCTGGACCGATAATAATCAGACAGCTAAGAACCACCGCAAGGAAACTGGCTTACAAATGAAAAAACCGCATCGAAATCGGTCCATCTGTTTCAGAGCTACGATGCCACAGACAGACACACACACAAAGACAGACAGACATCGACGTCAAACTTATAAGAACCCTCTATAATTTTGAGGTTGTAGTGTATTTTAGTAAAAGCCACCTTACGCAGTCGCTGCATGAATAAAAAATATATAGGTGCTACTACTACCTACTAGAGCGTTTGTACTAAAATTAAATAAGAGCATAAAAATTTTAATTGTACAGCTAATAATCTGACTTTAGCTCGCAATCATTACAAGTGATCCCTGCTTTATATTAGATGGCTTACTTAAGCTTGAATGTTAAGATCAACTATGCAATGAAATAAAATTTCTTGTATTTGTTCTAATCTTTGCATTTACATAGCACGAATGAAAATTCCGTAAGTTAGTCAGTAAGTAAAGGCTTTATTTACTTACTCACTAACTCATTTCACTATATACGTTGCTTGCTTATAAAAGAAAGATGGCAAGCAATAACTTTGAATCTAGTTCTGACCCTACTACCTTAAAAAGAGGATAATATTTTTTATGTAATAAATGCCTGAATCAATACAGTAACCAAAATCTAATCAGAAAATGAAATGTAACGCGTCTGATATGTCGAGTGTTTTAATAAAAGCTTTTGATGGAATCTGTCATTTTATAGATAAGTACGATAAGTATTTGATTGGTTAATAATGCACCGAGAAATTATGAATTAAAACTATGTAGTATTTTTTTTAAAATCTAATATATAAAATTCTCGTGTTTGTAACAATTCTTCCGAAACGGTATGACCGATTCTTATGAAATTTTGTGTGTATATTCAATAGGTCTGAGAAGAAGACGTAAGCTATTTTTGATACCCCTAAGTGATAAGGATGGTCCACCCAAAAAAAAAATTTTTGGTCAATTTTTTTAATTTTTTTTAAGAATCGACATTAAAAATAAATACAAAAATAAATTATCACACATAATAATTATTATGGTTTTGCAAAATGAGAGCAGGTTGCTATTTACATTTAATGTTATAAAAATGAAAATTTGTGAATGAAGTTTCTTAAAGATGGAACCGTTCAACAGATATGACAAACAGTTTGAAATCAATTTGTATTAACAGAAGCTATTTTTGGATCGACGTTCGTAACACGAAAAAGTCGTAGGCAAAAGTTAATAATTTTCCACCGCCTTGTACAATCCCTAAACATGCTAAGAATAGATGTTGGGATTTTCCATGAAATAATCTCAGTTACAGAAATTTTATATTAATAATAGTTTATAGATTACGGTGTATACGGTTTCCCTTTTCTCGGAAAACTTATAAAACCGTAGGTATAGCGCTTGACCCTTAACCGGTAATGTCAAGACCTTTCGTAATATGCTATATAAAGAGAAATAAGAGTGTGGTTATATGAGTACACTATAGATACAATATTATCTATATCTATACACTTAATATATAAATATCACTTGTCACGGTGTTTATGGTATGGTGGCACTTCTCCGAAACGGCTGGACCGATTTTAATGATATTTTTGTTCTATATTTGGTAGGTATGAGAATAGGTCGTAGAGTATATACATATAATAAAATTGTAACTAAGCCGAATCTGTACATCAAATATTTTTTGGAATATCTTATTGAAATTAACATTATTATCGATATAGAGGCCGAATAGTTTTTAGAATTTTTGTCTGTCTGTCTGCCTGTCTATCTATCTATCTGTCTGTTCCCGCATCACAGAAAAACCACTGGAGGGATTATGATGATGGTAGCTGGCTATCCGGGTGAAAATGTCTCATTTCTGAGAAAAAAAATACAAAAACTATAATGTAAAACCTAAGAATTTGATTTTTGGTCATATTAAAACGGGCGGAGCCGCGGGCAATGCTAGTGTTATATAAAAATATTCAATTATTTAAATCAAATAATCAACGTTAAAAAGATTTTAAAATACTCCATATTGTTAAAAAACTACTTTGTTAAAAAAAATAAAATAATGATTGATGATGATGATGATGATGATGATGTTCTCCTAGCCGATTCCGACCACGGCGGCCAATCTCAATGAGATTAGCCAACTGCGCAGGAGATATTATAGTGCACAAGTGTACGCGCAGACACAAGTGCACTCTCTATTCCTATCACTCTCATACTCCGGCGGGACGACCACTCGACACGACCGGTGAGAGTTAAGGCGCAGGACCGACGGCTTCACGTGCTCTCCGAGGCATGGGGGTGAAACACCGCCAACTTCCCAACTCCGGGCTGTTACTGAGACTTACTATACAGGAGGACTTAATAACTAAACTTGGCCCGACCCAGGACTCGAACCCAGGACCTCCGGGTGTGCAGCCGTACATGCTAGCCACTACACCACCGAGGCAGTTAAAATAATGATTAATAAGTATATAACTAAAATGTAATATTATGATTGGCTAGATTTAATTCATTTATGTTATAGGTTAATTTATTTCATTCTAATTATTTAATTATCTAGTTATTCATTAAAAATCATTAAATCAATTATTATGTCGTATGTATTATATATAATAAATATGTTGGGACATTAACACACAGCACCATCTAGTTCCATGGTAAGCTACGAGGCCTGAGTTATGGATACCAGATAGTTGATACACTACACATATTATATAACTTTAAATACATACATATTATAAATATAAACACCCATGACTGGAGTACAAATATTCGTACCCATCACACAAATGAATCCCAGCGGGACTCGAACCCGCGACCGCTGGCACAGCAAGTATGGTCACTGCAAACTGAGCCAAAATTGTATATTGTAATTATAATATTACATAAAAATATACAATTAATCAAATCAAATAACTGTTAAACCAATTAATTGTAAATTTTATTTTTTATTAAGGAAATATAAGGCTTATTATTATATTTATAGTGCTAGCTCTCGCAAAAGATCTAACGGAAGGGCGTAATACCCCACCCGTATCGATACAAGGATCGCTGTGGGAGGGGTCGTGTAATCCTCTTGCTGCATAACAAGAAAACCTCTATACAAAATGTAATATGTATACTTCACTTGCATAACAGCTATTCGAAGCATTTTTATTAAAATTCTATATATAGTACTAAGTATTATTCTCTACATATTATATTCTAAGTTTAATATATTTTTATAACGAATATGAATATTTATAAGAATATTGAGCGATAAAAAGTAACATTTCCACTGTAAAATATACCAATGCATTGAAAATTGTGCGACAGTTTCATTCGTAGGGTTTACTGCTGATTCGAAGCTTATATAACACTAGCGAATCATCCACGCATCGCTCGGGTTCGTCCCTGGGTAAGTTTTAACTGCTAATATGGATTAGATAGACTATATGATATATATTTTATGATATATGTATAGCCTAAAGCCTTCTTCAATAAACAGGCTATCTAATAAAATAATTTTTGAAATCGGATTAGGTACCTGAGATTAGCGCGTTCAAACAAACAAACAAACAAACAAACAAACAAACAAACAAACAAACAAACTCTGCCTCTTTATAATATTAGTATAAATTTTTAATAATATTTAGTCTAAATAATAAAAAATAAAATGATGTAAACTAGCTTATCCATGACTCGGTCCCTAGTCGCTTAATAGTAGATTTAGGTCATAGTCTGTTTGCTAAGTTTCATAAAAATTCGTCCAGCCGTTTCTGTCTAAAGGTGTAGGTTACAAACTAAAACATATACATATTATGAATTACAACATGTCACTTATTATAATATTACCTACTAGTTTATCGTAAATCTTATTAATAAATAAATATGTTGGAACATGAACACACAGCACCATCTAGTTCCATGATAAGCTACGAGGTTTGTGTTATGGGTACCAGAATATAGTTGATACACTACACGTATATAACTTTAAAGATACAAATATTATAAATATAAATATAAACACCATGATTCAGATTAAAAGTGAAATGAAAATAGTCAAGTTATATTAATTACACAGTGCAGTGGCGGATTATCCATGAGGCAAACTAGGCACGTGCCTAGGGGTGCAAGGTTACAAAAGGGCGCGCGTGGAAAATTTTAAACAAAGAAAAAAAATATACTTAAATTAATACCAGATACCTGTAATCATAATGCGTAGTAACGGCGTGAGATTAAATTCATTTTCAAAGAGTGGGGGATAAAACTGACGACGACTCTTTGAGGATTTTAACTAATACTAGCGACTCACCCTCGCTTCGCTCGGGTTCTTTCCTAGCTTCATTCCCCATACAAACTTTCATCCCCATTTTCACGCCCTTAAGGGATTGGAAGTGTCTCAAACTATCTTCTTACCAAATTTCATCTTAATCGGTTCAGTAGATCCAGAGATTACCCCCTACAACGTCACAAACTCACCAAGTTTATTTTTATTTCAAAGAATGGCAAGTACGGTTTGGTCGCATGGTCGGAGTATATATATATATGTATACTCCGACCATATATATATATATATATATATATATGTAACAGAGCAGGGAGCAAAGAAGCAAACAACTAACACGGTAATCTATAACATTACCGTGACGTTAATGTTTAGTAAACAAATGTACTCAGAGCAACAAGTCGAACTTGCCATGACTATTTGAATAAATGAATAAATAGATTTACTGGAGCGAGTGAATGGCTAAACAAATTATTATCTTGATTGCAGA